ATCCGTTTATTTAGGTCGAAATAAAACCCATTTCCCTTGTGGACGAAATCTCTCCCAACTCCCGTGTTCCCTTTGGCAAGATGGAGGTCGACTATGAGCCACTCACGAAAGGCGGGTCGATGCACGGTCCTGAACCCCAGCAAGCAGAGGCCAGCTCCATTTCGGCATCCAATTCTGGAGAAAATGCCTTCCCGCCAAAAAGTATTCAAGACGAGTGCCTCCGGCTGTGTCGTCCCACGCGGTATGACGGGCGCCGCGATGTAGAGGCTTTGGAGGAGTTCCTCAATTCCCTAGATCTATACCTCCGCATTCAAAATGCCCCAGAAGCCTTCCAACTCCTCCTGGCCTCTTCCTTGCTAGAAGGGGACGCACGGCGATGGTGGCTACACCTATGCAACCGCTCCACGTTCCCGGAGCACATCAGGTCCATGCAGGCATTCCGGGACGCGGTACGTTGCAGGTTTATCCCGACGTCCGCAAGCGAGCAGGCTATGGCAGAACTGAGAAAGCTTAAACAGGGAAAACTGTCTGTGGAGCGCTACATTGAGAAATACCAGTCCTTGGTGAACCGAAGTCCTATGGTGGCCCCGGAGCTCCACTACCAATGGTTTATAGCGGGGCTGGATCCCGTAGTGAGGCAAACAGTGACTGGCTGGGCCACGGGCAGGGAAATGATGGGCGAAAAAGTGGAACTTGCTGACATGATGGAATACCTCCGCAGAATGGAAAAGAAAAACGCCACACCCACAGCCCTAGCTGAAAAGGAAGAAAGCGGGCATGGGAACAATCCCGATTTGGAACCAATGGATAGTGGGGCTGTGAACACCAAGCCAGCTAAACACGGGGCTAGAAGCGGCTTCCGTCAGCAGACGGCGACTTCACCGCCTAAAAAGCAAGACGGAGACTCTGAACGGCGTACCTGCATCTTCTGTAGTAAACCGGGTCACGTATTTCGAGATTGCAGGCTTATGAAAAAGGCTAGGGAACAAATGAGACCAAACCCCGAACACCGCCGCCAAGGGAACAAACAGAGCAAGCAGGGAAACGCCCGGGCCTCTACGCAACGTGCGGCGCAGTGAAGGGGTCATGCGAGATAACGGCCGCACCTACAGACCCACCTCGAGTCAATTCAGTACTTGTACAAGTACGAATAAAGGGACTGGATCTAATGGCCCTACTCGATACGGGATGTGAAGTAGATATGATCTCGGAAGCCGCAGCAAGGAGATGCAGCCTACCGGTCTACTCATTGGCA